TTTTTTTTTCTCATATGAAAATCAAACATTAAATCTCAAAACTGTCTCTTTCTTATTTTATCCTGACATATCTTTCTTTCTTCCTCTTAATCGAACTTCATTGAGATGTTGAATAACTTCATTAGCTTTATCTCCGGTTTCACGATACCCTTCTAAAATATATCTAAACTATGTTATTTAGTAGACAACCATTATATAGTTATTATAAATAACAAACTAAATCTTCTGCTTTGTAGTGTGTACATAAAAGAGCTCGTTCTAATACATATAAATCAACAGCTCTATTTTCTATTGTTTCTGACATTGTTGTTAATCCAAAATCAATAATAATGATATCTCCAGTTTGTGTAATCATGAAATTTGAAGTAGTTAAATCTCCATGAATAAATCCTTTTTTATGAATTGTGCCAATAAGTTGTCCTAATTTCCCCATCACACAAATAGCTTCATCACTGTATTTTTCATTTTTGTACATATCATTCACAAAACTCTTTAATGTTTTTCCATCAATATATTCCATTACAATATCTAAACTATTACAATAAAATACTTTAGGACATGGAATATTTAATTCATTAAATCGTTGAAGTGTTTTGTTTTCATTACTTACTCGTTTTTTATTCATTGTTTTGTCTAATGTAGGTTCTCTATATGATTTAGCAAATCGGTGTTTAATAAGAAAAATACCATTTTGTGTACTCACTTTATATATAACCGCTTCTGCCCCTTGACTTAATTTGTCTTTTTCATCCAAATGAAGAAGAAGACTTTTAAAGTCAAATGAAGAGGTTTTATAAGTCATTGTCAATTAATTATCTTTTTTATTTTTAAAGATATTTTTAGTTTTAAAAAAACAAATCTTGAAATAAAATAGTGTTATGACATCATCTGTGATTGTTGGTATTGACCTTGGAACAACTACAATTGAATGTGCATATTTTGATACAAAAAAAGGAGCACCTGATTTAGTAAGATTAAATGAAGGAGAAAAAATGCAGTCAGTTGTTTATTTTAGAAATGGATTGATTCAAGATGATGACGTTATTCAAGACAATGAAACTCAAAAAATATCAAACACTAAAAGATTAATTGGTTGTTCTTTTAAACCTTCTTTCGTACAACAAGAAAAAAGAATGATTAATTATGAAATTGTTAATGACCCAGAAAATGGACTTTGTAGAATTAAATACGATAAAGAACATACAATTTCACCAACAGAAGTAGCATCTATTTTGTACAGTAGAGTGAGAAATAATATTGTCAATAAATTTCACTCAAACAACATTAAATGTATTTTAACCGTTCCAGCACAATTTAATGATGAACAACGAAATCAAACAAAAAAAGCAGCAGTATCAGCAAATTTAGACGTTATTGATATTTTAAATGAACCAACTGCAGCAGCATATTATTGTAGTAAAACACAAAACTATAATGAGGGAGATAAAATCCTTATATTTGATTTTGGAGCAGGTACACTTGATGTTTCTATTGTTGAAATGAAAAATGGAAATTTAAGAGTTATTGGGTCAGAAGGAAATAATTATCTTGGTGGAAGAGACATTGATATAAATGTTAAAGAATTTCTTCAAGAAGAATGTGAGAAAAAAAGATATACTACATACCTTAAAGAGATAACTGAAGACAAAATTATGGAATTATGTGAAAATGCTAAAATTGAATTATCTTCAAAAGAAGAAACAGATATAATATTAAAAAGATTTGACGATGATGATGACGATGATGATGAATATGTAGAAGATATTAAAATTACAATCACAAAAAAAGACTTTGAAAGAATCAATAAAAATATTAAACAAAAATGCACTGAACTTGTCAATAAAATTTTATCTCATTGCAGATGTGATAAAGAAGACTTAAAGGATGTTATTCTTGTTGGAGGTTCTACTTATATTCCATTTGTTCAAAAAATTGCAGAAAGTTATTGTGTAAATACAAAACTTGAAAGAAAAGCTAGTGCACAAAAAGTTGTTTCATTTGGAGCTGCATTATATGCATATCAACGAGTTTCTGGAGCATCTCCAGTTCAAGACATTTGTTCATATTATTATGGAACATCTATTTATGGCACACAATTTCATTCTTTAGTAGCTAAAGGAGCAACACTTCCTGCAGAAGGAAGTGCATTATATAAAACAGTTGAAGATTATCAAACAAAATGCAAGTTTGATTTACTTCAAACAAGTAATCTAAAGTCTAAAACAGAGGATTGTATTAATCTAGGAGTATTTATGATACCTAATTTACCAAAAAGAAAAGTAGGAGATGTCAAATTTCGAGTGACTTGTAGAGTTGAATTAGATGGACGAGTTGGATTAAAGGCTGAAATAGTTGAACCACTAGATTGTAATGAAAGAGGGCATATACATGAAATGAAATGTTTAACTTATGACAGTGATTCTGATGAAGTAAAAAGAATTCAGTCAAATATTGCCTCTATAACAGAAGCTAAAGAGATAAAAAAAGGAGTACTTGAGGAATTTAAAGCACAACATAAAAAACTACTTATTATCCAAAATATTCTTAAGGAGGAATTTCCTGAAGAATATAACAAATATTCTAATGGAATAGCTGAAGTTTTAACTTACAAAAGTGATAAATTAGACACGATTAAAAAGAATGTTGAATACTTTTCAAAACGTATTGAAGAAATGAAAAAAGCAAAACAAAAAGAAGTTGATAACACTCCTATTAAACAAGAAATTCAAGAAATTGATGAAA